TATTGTTGACTAGAAAAAGTCATACCAGTTCCCCGGGACAGACTCAACACTTCCTCAGTGTGTCTCCTGGTTTACTGACTCCACCCTGTCCTGTTCGCACACCCAAGAACTACTGGTGACGTGCTGTCAGCTCCTCGCCCTTCCCTCGGGCGACACAGAAAATGACACACAACATGAAAAGACCCAGAGGATTATTACACAATTTTAATTGAAAAGATTTAGTCGTGGACTAAATAGATGACATTGTATTCATTATTTTTAAAGGTCGGATTCATTAATGTTCAGCAAAGAAAGTTGATATGAATTTAAAAATTAGGTTTTAAAGAGCCCCATAGTAACTCAGGCTGACATTCTAAAGCATTGTGCGAAGTGCAGCCCTGATTTTACCCTAAACGTAAATAATAGGGAGAAGAAAAGGGTTCACAGAGACGGAACACTGGCGTTGTTCTTTGGTTATCACATTGGCAGGAAACACCCAAGTCTGATAAACTATTCTACCCCAGCAGCCAGACTCTTCAGAAGAAGCAGGGGAAGGACAATGCCTTCCTGTCTGTCGCATCATCACTGGGGCAGGTCAGGCCCGTTTCAGTGGAAACGAGTGATTGGAAAGACAGTCCCGGGACGTCTTCTAAACTGAGATACAGCCAGGCCCTTGGCAGAGGACTGAGCCCGGTTTGGGGGCAGGAGTGTATCTGGGACCAGGAAGGCGGGGGCAGCTCCAAGCAGCACACGCGTTCACCGTGAAACACTGTGACCGGGAAAGAGCGATGAGAAGAAGGGGCCAACGATGCCTTTTGTGAGCTTACTTTCCACGCGGGGAAATTTTCCAAACGTGTTTTCCTCATGGATAGATTTAGTTTGCTTTCTTAATGTTGTTAAGAAAGATCTTGGTTAGAAAGGAGTTTGCATTTACTGAATATTTCTGTAAGAATCCACTGAAGATACTTTAATTAATATTAGACATTACTTCTTCATTATTAAGAAATGTATATTCTTGACGCAGGTGGTAAACACTCAATACAATATACTGATGCTGTGTTGTAGAATTGCATACCTTACCTGTATAATTTTATTAACCAATGTCACCCCAATGCGTTCAATTTTTAAAAAGAAATGTATATTTATGTGCAGATAAATACATTTATGGCTAAGTAGAGACAAATCTTAAATAGAAATGCATATCAGAAGAATTGATCATTGGTTAATTATGTGATTTTAAATTCACGGTACATTAAAATAAGTCATTCTTACAATGAATACTATATGTAAAATCTTCATGTATATTAAATAACTGTCACTTTGCATAAGAAGTAAAAAAACAGATGGACATTTCTCTAATCTCACAAATTGGTGATTTGGTAAAAAGGTTATACACAAATAAGTTATTGATAGAGGAAATCCAGAGAAAGACATGGAAGAAATTTTAGATTTTCAACATGCCTCAGAAACTACTCCAAGTGAAGAACTTACCAAAACAATACATTTATAGGACTATTGCACAACAATGACAGTGTATGACTCTCCGCACAGTCGGGCAGATGAACAAGGGCCAGAGGTGCTCCCTCCTCCCCACGCTCTCCCCTCCCCGCCCAGTTTTCAAGCTGGACAAACACTGGGCTCAGACCATTCACAGAGGGAGGGTCCAGGCTGGACGCCCCGCCTACGGCCAAGGAAGCCACACCTTCCTTCGCTGTCACTCTGGTCAGGTCTCCTTCTCAGAGACCAGCCCTGACTTCCTACTTCACCAGAGTCCAACCTGCTCCCAGCTCTTCACTCTGCCCTCTTCCTGGTTGTGTGGCCACCTGCCATCCTGTCTAATTTACTGACTGACTTCTTGTGCTCGGTGTGCTATTCCCTTTAGCTCCATGGAGACAAGGACCTTCATCTTCCGTTCCCTCCGTATCTGCATAGTAGCCACTCAATAAATGTTTGTGAAATGAATGCAAGATCTCCATTTTAAATTTCAATTTCCCTCAACAGGTTAACTAAGTGCAAGAGGAAGCTCAGATATGGTGGCTTTGGGTTTTATGAAACTCTGGATAAAATGTTTTACAATATCTGAAGTGGTGAAAGGCAAAAAAAATTCAAAAACCAGGAATAAAATGTAAGCGCACAGTCACCTGTGAGAAAGGTCTGGAGCCAGCGGCAAAGTCAGCGGAAAGAATGGATGTGGCCAGTCTGCCTCCTAAGCCCCGAAGGGCTGTGGTCACAGGGTGAGCTAGGACAGCCACTCACGGAGCCTGGAGACACCTTCAGCTCCTAGTCCTGGTGCTGCATGGCATGGAAAGACACAGGAGAAAATCTCTGGAAATTACTCATCAGAGCTCCTGGTGTTGCAGCTAAAATCCCCTCCACCTGGGAGGCACTGAGTTTTATTTTAAATTGA